ATAGATTACTAAAAACATCGAAATCCAAGAAAAATTATGTTATCCATAGTCCTCAGAATAGACTGGCTAATTTAGTAAATTCACTTCAAGGTGAAATTGATTTCTATGGAGGAACATACGCTGCTTTTACCGAAAACACCAAAAGACACCTGCTCGTCTGAATTACATCTAAATCAAGTCTGAATTACATATTAACTTACAATTATTTAAATATTTTCCAGATATTACACTAATATACCCTAGCTACTTTTGTATAATACTTTAATTATTTATTATATCTATGTATATTGCCGATTGGCGTTTAAATAAATAAATAAAAAAAATAAAAAAAATAATCGCTATGTTCTCTACATTCACTTTGTTGATATAACCATGAATTGATTTTTTTAGTGCTTCCCATGCGATACGTTGATATGCAGCTGAAGCTTTATCGGTTATTTCAATCTGCATCATACGTAACTTAGCTGGTGGAATATACGCAGCGCCAGTACGTGACGATAAAAGGTCTACAGTTCGTCGCTGGCGATCAGTAATCTTTGCCTTCGGATCAGTAACCGCGTGCTTTACGCGTTAGAGACAATTTGTTACGTTTGGTCGAATTTTCAGCACTAAGGCTTTTTCCTCCTTCTCTTCTTTTTTCTTGCGATCTTCATTTTCGCAGCGCTTACGTACAGCATGACGATTTTTACGTTCCTTTTGTCATCTTTCTAGGGATACTGACCGATGGGAACGTTTACGGGAACAATATCGTGAGCGTTGCCTAGAAATACAACGGTTTCGGGAACGACTGCGTCGAGATGATTTTGTTTGCTCTCGAGAACTCTCGTTTTCAACCTTTTGTTATTCTCGTCAGATTTTTTTGTGAAAGTTGATGCCAATCACATCGACAAAGTTTTCCACAGATCTATAACCAGTAGTGTCTCTCTCCGAATTACCATTCGGCAAATCAAGTCCTTCGGATTCTCTCTCCTTATCGTCAACTGATTGGGTATTTGCTTTATTATAACTTAATTCTCCTTCTTCAAGTTCCCCCGGGGCTTTATTTTCCATTGATTCACATTTATTTATTTCAGGACTTGTTGAATCTGCTGTGTTAGTTAACCTTACTGCATCATTTTCTTCTCTCTTTTCATAGCTCTTTACACCAACTTCCTCAGGTGAGCAATCTTCACTTGGTGTAAAAGAATTTTTTTCTTGTAACAAGGATAATGATGAAGATTTACAATCCTTTCCATTCTCTGTAGTATCAAAACCTTTTTGAGCAGATGATTCTTTTGAACTTGGAGCCGAATCAGCAGAAAACGATGAACTTGACGAACTTGAAGTTACACTTCCAATCTCGTTGCTAGATGAGCTACTATCGGTATAACTGTCCGCCATCTTTTACGAAAGGAAAATATTTCACAAAAATGCACGCCTTTAAATTGAACTTAGCCCTTCTTTACTTGTCAAAAATTACGATTGACTTTAAACTGCATATATCGATCCATATGTGCGTGTTACCATGATAAAATTGAACGAAAATATGTTCTCAATCATCGATGCAGAGCTTTGGATCTCATATTCAAAATATTTTTGCCACTCCAGTTGACTTTTCCCGTCCTGTCCCGTCCTTCTGGGATGTCGGATACCTTATTGGGTATACTTATATACCTATATGGTATATAGCTGAGTCAACTTAGATATAATGTGTCTGTCTGTCTGTATATACGCGAACTAGTCCTTCAGTTTTTGAGATATCGATCTGAAGTTTTGCACCCGTTCTTTTCTACCTAAGAAGCTGCTCATTTGTCGGAACCGCCAATATCGGACCACTATAGCATATAACTGCCATACAAACTGACCGTTCAAAATTAAGTATTTTATGTGACAAGATATCTTCACGAAATTTGGCACAAATTATAACTTTAAGCATCGCTACAATCTCCGAACAAATTATTCAGAACTGATCGCTATAGCATATAGCTCACCGATCAAAATGATTTATTTTCCTTATTAAAAAACCTTAGTGTGAAGGGATTTTCTTGTTTAATATAAAGGTGATTTCAAAATCCCCAAATTCAAAATCACCAAAATCACAATCCACATAACAGCAGTAATATCCGTTAGAGAAAATTAATATTAAAAGGACAGTTATACCGACCATGAAAATATTAGTTTGGTGTTTTTTGTATTTCAAAAAATAACCTTGCCCGATTCCATACCGAGGTATCATCAGTTCTCTCCCCCTTCAAACTCTTTTCTACACTGTTACTTTTTGAGTTTGGAGGTTTTAATTTTAAGGATTTTTTAATATTGGGGATTTTGTGTTTGGGGAGTAAATTTTTGGGAGTTTGGGTTTGGTCTCTGAAAATGACGAGAGTATAAAATGTTCAGTTGCATCCGAACTCTGCTCTTTCTTACATTTTTTGACAACAAATTGAAGTTTAATTATTTTTCATATTCTACAATAACAATAATATAAATATTTGCATGTTCTTATACAAAAACAATATACACTAAAATGTATTTATATTGTCTATAGTATAAAACTAAATACAAAATACAAAAAAAAAGAAATTAAATTACTTACCACTAACTCTCAAATAAAAATATACAGCGCAATTTGCTTTTGTTCCTTTTGTTTT